GAGGAAGATGGGCATGGATGTTAGCTCAGAGCCAGGCTTCCTCAGCAAAAAAGAGGAAGACTGGTAGTAGTTAGCTCAGGGCTAATCTTCCTCAAAAAACAAAAACAAAAACAAAAAACAAACAAAAAATTATTAAAAAAAACTACAACATTGATCAAGAAAGAATATTAACATGTCAACACAAGTTATCTATGGTTTCTTCTATGGTTTATAAATGCTCTATAATGTGTATTATTTTTTTATAATCAGAAAAAGTTCTATTTTTTTAAAGTTAAAAGAAATATTCAAATATCTAAAAACATCTTAGGTTCGAATGAATCATTTTACATTCATCAAAGACACTAACGGAAGTTATGTAAGTTATGCTGCCTGGTTTCTCTTATGAGAAAGGAACCTGCACTCTCAGCTGGGCTTGGATATTGCTAGGAGCTGGACTGGTACTCCTGGCTTGTTAGTGCCGTGGAGTCCTAACGACCCTGGGGACAGCAGAGTAGAGCCCTGCCCAGTCTTTTTGCACCATCCTCTCACCTTCCAGTGTTGTATCAGACAATGTTCTGCTGCTATTCACAGGGTTTTCATGGACAATTTTTTCAGAAGAGGTCGGGCCAGGTCCATCTTCCTAGTGTGTCTTAGTCTGGAAGCTCTGCTGAAACTGGTCCACCATGGGTGACCCTGCTGGTGTTTGAAATACCAGTAGCATAGCTTTCAGCATGACAGCATCATAGCATCCAGCTCCCACAGTATGACAACGGACAGATGGGTGGTGTGGTTCCCTGACTGGAAATGAACCGGGGCCTCAGTGGTGAGAGGGCTGACTCTCAACCACTAGACCCCAGGGCTGGCCTGCTCCTGTTAGGCCTCGGTATTCTCTTGTTGAGCATAAATAATTTCACAGAATATTAACACCAGACAAGGCTATTTATAACAAAAACGTGACCTTTGTCCAAAAGGGCTACAGAGTCAAAAATAAGTATTCACCAAAGCTTGGGGCTCATTAAAAAAAAAAATCATCCCCTGAAATTGAGTTGATGCTGCCAAGAAATATATTTGAAGAGAAAATTTGTTTAAATCAATGGGTTTCAAACCTATTTCACCTAGATCCACATGAAGAAACACATTTTACGTTGGGATCCAGTACGTATATACACATATAAATCTAAAATAAAAGTTTCATGAAACAATATTCCCCTTTATTATGTGTGATCCTTTCTATTTTTCTTTTCTATTTCATTTTTAATAAAGTTGGTCACTATTCACTAAACTGTTTCTCAACTCTCAGTTTCAAAAGCACTGTGATACAAGGACTTGGATATATGCTAAATCCAATTCAATTAATTAATTGAAATGGGACTAGATTTAATCTAATCAAGAGGAATGAAGAGAAAATTTCATCCATTCATTCAATCACAATTACTGAGTCAGGCCCTGTTCTGGTTGCTTGTGTACAGCAGTTAACAAAACATAGCCTCCTGTCTCACAGAGCTTACAGTATAGAGCTCTGCGTCCAGTGAAGTTACCAACCATTGGTGTTTAAATTTAAATTAATTAAAATTAAACATTCAGTTCCATAGTCACAGTTAGCCACAGTTCAAGTGCTCAAAAGCCACATGTGCCTAGTGGCTATTCTTTTGGACAGAACAGATAACAGAACATTTCCATTAATCCAGAAAGTTCTTTTGGACAGCTCTGCTCTAAAGGAATGAATCTTGCCTTGTAACTTGACTAAAGTAATGATTTGTTAGCAGAGTATGAAGGAACTAGGGGGAAAAAACAATACGAATTCATTAACATATCTCAGAATGAAAGGGTTCAGACCACTATTCACAACAAGAATAGTCCATGTGGCTAGTTCATTCCTAATCACCTTCTGCCACAATCATACACTGCATTCCAACCCTCTCTACTTAATTCCTTATTAAGCAAACCACATTTTCTGTAACTCGACTGCTTTCTACACTATATCTAATCAGCTAGGAATTTCTCATCCTAAATTAATGGTATTCTGGTTTGCAAATCAGTCTCTTAAGAGTTGAGCAACTCATAAGTGAGCAAAGTGACCACCTCTAAGCTGAGAACCAGACCCTCTGCACTGGGGGTACAGCAGGGACTCCTAGCTGCCTACATTCTTCCTAATAACAAAATCCTGTATTTAGGGTGGCAATGAGCCAGTGTCAATGAGCTAGAAGACCAGTTTGCTGCCTTCCTTGCAACTAGATGCATCCTTGTAATTGTTCATGGGGCATCTAGAATATCTTCTTAGAAGGGAAACACACAGCTAGAATGCGTCCCTTTTGTCCTTCCCTTCTTCTCACTGCCTACAAGATGGATGTGATGGCTGGAATTCTAGCATCTACTGTAGACCATCTAGCATCCACTGTAGACAATGGAGAAGAAAGGAAGATCCTGGGTCTCTGATGCCCATGAAGCCACCATGACTTCATAGCTTCAGTCTGGACTGCAGGTCCCTGAATTTCTTTTGTAAAAGAGAATAAACCATTATGTGTTTAAGCCATTGTAGTCTATCCCTAATTGATAAAATGGTCAACCCTCCTGAGATGCTTTTCTTACATGAGAACTTGTGTGAAGAGGCCAGAAGACATTGTCTTTGAAATCTCTCTACTCGCGAGAGATACCAAGTCATATTCAGCCGTAAAATTTAGGACAACCCTAGATTTTGTCAGAAATCACCGCTTTGTAAGGAATAAAATGTTATAAAAAAATTCAAATGATTCCTTGTAAAAGCTCACCAGTTTAGATAAAAGCCAAATCCTTGCAATTTTGTCAGTGGCTTGCAATTTGTGACTAATTTTGCCCTATATGTATTACTGGTGTTCTAAGTAGGTATTTTCAAGGTACAGCACAGATTTTCTAGACCACAGGAAAGAGTTTACAAAATATCCTGAAATTCAAATCAGAGTTTCCTAAGATTTTATTTTTTAGGCTGTCTAGTCACTGAATTGCCATGAGCTATCAAATATGAACCTGAGATAGAAATCTCATAAAGACACAAGTTGAATTCTTTCAGTGATCCACTACAGTAAAGAATGTCTTTAGTACTAAATCCCCAAAATACTTCCAAATAATATAGAGGGTTAATGGAATAGTTTCAGGAATATTTTGAAAAGTAATAAAATTTGGGAAGAATCATGCATCAAATTCAACCAATAATTATTGATAACCTAGACATTTTTTTCTTTATCTTATTTAAATCCCCAAAGCCCTTTTAACTCACAAAAATTCCATTTTATACTTAGGCTTGGGGAGACTGACTTTCCCAAGGTCACAAACCAGTAACACCTAAAGCCAAGATTCAGCCTAGGGTTCTTTGACTTAACGCTTCAGGACTTTCTCACTGTGGCTGTTCTTACAAAACTTGAAAAAACGTTTTCACTTGGACATAAAATTGGAGAAGGGTAGAGGGAGTCATGTTTGAGGGTATTGTATGAGTGAATGGGAATCTTTCTGAATAATTGGAAAATGTTAAAGCTGAGGAAAATAATTAAACTGTAATATGCCTGGGATAAAAATCTGTTCCCTTCATATATTCCAGAAATAATCAAGAGGTTTGAGAGATCCTTCATAGACCATCTGTCAGAAGAGGTCCATTTGTTTTCAGAGCCCCCTTATGCCACTTTTTAGCTTCCTCCTAGTTACCCAGTGTCCTCTGGGGTGCCCAGTGCAGCCCCAGATCCCATTTTCCCAGGAGCGTCCCATTTCCTAGCTCTTCTCCATTTTGACTCTTCCACTATCTCAATTCACTGTCTCGTGCCCTGCTCTTTCATAACGGTTGCTCTCGCTTACTCTGGAATGCTTTACTGTTGGATTTAGGGAAAATTGTAATATGTTATAATTGCCTGATTCTTTTACTAGAACGAAATTTTCTGTTCTGACGGTAGGACTGGATTTTAACTGTTCACAATTGGGATCTCTGTGCAAATCCCAGTGCTAGGGACACAGGAGAGCATAAAAATATCTGTGGAATGGCAAGCTCACGCGTTTCATTTCGCATACAACTTCGCCTTAAAGATATGACAAAAAGGGAAATTGGGTTTTTTAAGTACCTACTAATTGGGTCTAAAGTCCAAATAACTCTTGGGCTGGTGGGAAGCTCCCTGCTTTTATGTTTAACCCTCTAGCATCTGGGACATAATTCCAACTTCGTCTTAAAGTGACAACAGACTCTTTTTTCAAACAAAGGACATAATTCAAGACAAGTGCAAACAGAAAGGGGAAGAGCGCTTCAGCTGTCTGCCTCAGGAACCCGCAAACTCTCAAATACGGGATTACAAGGAGATGGAAAGCTGCGCCAACTCCGTGACACTTAGCTTCCTCCCCAAGTCCCTTCCCGCAGATCTTGCGACCCCACGACTGTCGCCGGAGGCTACCGGGACGACCTGGACCCCACTACCCGCATCCGAAAACTCCAGCTGGGGCAGCCGCTGAGGCAAATGCGGAGAAGTCCTCTGAGGCCCTCGGAGATCACAGAGGTCGGTCAAAAGCCCCGGCCCCGGCTCCCCTCCTCGAGGACACCCTCGCGGTATCGCAAGGCCTCAAGAGCCCGTCCCGCGGTAGATACAAACTGCCCGACTGCAGCTGACATTCTCGCCCCAGAAAGGGGTGGGAGCCTGCGCTCGGCGAGGCGCGGGGCGGAAGCTGGAAGAGATTCCATCTACGCCCCACCCAGGCCCCAGGGCCCGGCGAGGCAGCCCCGGAGATTAACGGGCAAAACCCCAGACCCCGCTTGCCTCTTTCTCTCCCCGTGAGGGCCCGGGAGCTCCTCCCACCTCCCTGCAACCATCGCTCACAAGAACCCCCGGCGCGCTCCGCGGAATGCCGCATTGTGCCCCTAGGTCAAGTCCCCGGATGCTCGCCTCCCCTGCCTCTGCCCGAGCTGTGGTCCCGCCCCCCGCGCGGCTTTGCGTGCCACGTCACCGCTTGCGGCACTTCCGGAGGCGCAGCGGGCGATGACGTAGGTGGACGTGCCCTCTATATGAGGTTGGGGAGCGGCTGAGTCGGCCTTTTCCGCCCGCTCCCCCCTCCCCCTGAGCGCCGCTCCGGCAGCACCCCGCTCGCTCCGAGCTCCGGGCTCCTGTTAAGTTGCGCCGCCGTCGTCTCCCTCCGGCCGTCACCATGATCATCTACCGGGACCTTATCAGCCGTGAGTCGTGACTGCATTACCCTTCCTGGCGCGCGCGGGCGACGGGCGTGCGGGTGGGGGCGGGGAGGACGGACGCCGCGCTGTCGTGGGCCTGGGGACGCCGGCGGCCGTCCCGGGAGCGGGGAGGGCTCGGTGTCTGGGGTCGCGGCGCGTCTTGAGTGCCCGGGCAGGGGCGGGGGCCTCGTGCGGCCGGCCGGCACGGGAAATGGCGCTGGCCTTGGCCCCCGGGCGCTCGGTGACGGGCGGGTCTGTGTCCTCGAGCAGATGATGAGATGTTCTCCGACATCTACAAGATCCGGGAGATCGCGGACGGGCTGTGCCTGGAGGTGGAGGGGAAGGTGAGTCGCAGGGGCCACGGCGCGGGCGAGGCGAGGCCGGGCAGGCTCGGGTTTCCGCCGCTCCCCCGCCCGAGGTTGTGCAATCCTCTCCGCTGCCTCCTGGCGGAGGAGACGCACTTTCCGGGCTCGGGTTTTTCTAGAAAAGTGGAGGCGGAGCTGAGGCTGGAAATAGGTCCGCCGCCTGGGCGCCCATCCTCCCCCCGGGCCGTCCGGGACAGGTTGTCTGTGGTTTGGGAGCCCCAAGCCGTTCAACGTTTGCCTTCTCCCTGCTGGCTCGTCACCCCGTAGCAACCCGAGACCCCACACGAAACTTCCACTTGGTTGTGAATGACCCCGTTTTCGTTCCGGTCAATAGACAAAGAATTTTTGTTGAGTTAAGATGTTCCAGGAAATCAAGGAGTCATAAATTTTTTTCCGCTTAATGACGTTTTCGTGGTTTTCAACAAGAACGAAGAATGTTTGGAAGGATAATGAGTTTGTGAACTGCTGGCATGGCTGATTTTTTGGATTTTTGGATGTGTTTATGCCAAGGTCAAGGATGTCTTCTGCAACTAAGTTATTTTTTCTTAATGCAGATGGTCAGTAGGACAGAGGGTAACATTGATGACTCGCTCATTGGTGGAAATGCCTCCGCTGAAGGCCCCGAGGGCGAAGGTACCGAAAGCACAGTAATCACTGGTGTTGATATTGTCATGAACCATCACTTGCAGGAAACCAGCTTCACAAAAGAAGCCTACAAGAAGTACATCAAAGATTACATGAAATCGTAAGTGACACTGGCACAGCCAGCTCATGGCTGGGATGCTGTAGGGTTTAGGGATTGACTGACTTTGAGAGGTTCTTTAGCAGCAGCAGGCGCACTTGTGAAAGGCCTTTTTTTTAATTGATGAGCTCACAGGGGTGGTTGCTTTTCTATAAATAAACTAATGAGAGCGTACTGGAGCATGCAGTTTGGTTTTGGCTTTTCAGATAGTACTTTGGAAATAAGTTATTATGAGATTCAAAATTGTGAACAGTCTTGAAACATCTGTCCTGTGAACTAGTAATTTGATTGTGCTGTGTTATTTTGCTCCCTGACAGCTAGTTGCCCTTTTCAGTATGTGTTTGTTTTCGTTTGGATTTTTTACTTAATGAGATTTATTTTGCTCAGAACTCCATACGTTAACCTATTAATAAAACATTGTTTTAGAATCAAAGGCAAACTTGAAGAACAGAGACCAGAAAGAGTAAAACCTTTTATGACAGGGGCTGCAGAACAAATCAAGCACATCCTTGCTAATTTCAAAAACTACCAGGTAAATACCTTAAATATTTGGATCAAAGGATTGTACAATTTTAGCTGTGAGAACAAAAAATTAGTTATTTGATGAATCTTTGATGTAATTAAGTTGTGGATATTTTTCTGGGCTTTTGAGCAGTTTAAATAATTGAGATTCAGCTCTAGCAGTTGAGGCTGTAGAAAGTAATGTTCCCTGTTCCCAAGGGTGTTTCCAGATCTTGTCTTCTGATTCCAGAATCTCATCCCTACTCGCCTCCCAGATCACATTTCTCAGTTCCTTTCTTGAATTACTTGTTAACCTCTTAAGTGGTCTTCCAGTTTCCTTTTCCTTTACAATTCCAATATGTCTCATTGCCACTGGAGCTCTTTCTGATCTGAGCTTGTTCTGTTGGGAAACTGCAGTGACTTCGCCTTACCTCTAAGACATGAACGAAAAACCCATCACAACCTCGCTCTTAAAGTTTCCAGCTTTTACATATTTTCTGGCCATAAGAGAACTTTCCCCCTGTGATGTGCTGTTTCATTGGTAGCCTTATGTTCCCTGTGCTTGACTGTACCAGGCTTTTAGGGTTTGGAATTGTGTATGTGGGGCTGAGAGAGAAGTTTGCAGAAAGCCTAAAGTGTTCCTGGATTGCTCTGTACTCATGCTGGTCATTATTAGTGCTTTAATTGGGTGAACAGAAGTTTGATTAGTGAGCATTTTTTCTTCTAGGGATTAGCGCCTTTAGTTGCTGAAAGTCTGCTGATGAAATTGTGGTGTTCTCAACCATCCTTTTTTTTTGTCGTGGTTTGTTTTGATATGACATGTCTGTATATAACGGTCTAATTGTGGGTATTTGTTGTTTGCTTCCTAAGTTCTTTATTGGTGAAAACATGAATCCAGATGGCATGGTTGCTCTGCTGGACTACCGTGAGGATGGTGTGACCCCGTATATGATTTTCTTTAAGGATGGTTTAGAAATGGAGAAATGTGTAAGTATAAGGAAGTGGGTTGAAATCAGTAAAGTAGAAATGGAGATATCTTAGGTGTGGTTCTCCTTGTTTCATGCCACTGGGGTAGTTAGACTGGATTCTACAGCATTCCTTTTCAAGTGTTCCTCTTACTTTGGGGCTCTAAAGAGGGTTGTGTTTCACGTGAAAAATTTTATGGTGCAGAGACTTAGAATCTTCTTTAGCTAAAGAAAACTTTATCATCAATGGTATTACAAAGCACAGCTTGAATACTGGAGATCAGAGACAACACCCTGTGTTGATCTTTCCCTCTAGAAATGGCCTGTTGAAATCAGACTGCCTTTTTCTTCCTATTCTGCCACACAGACATGAGTGTCAAAACCTTTTTCGCTTTGGTTTACTGATAATTGACAACTGGTCATTGAAAGCCTTGATGTTAACTAGCTATTAGAAGGTAGAGTTTCAAGCTGGCTGCTGACTCAATATGGAAATTACTGTAGTAAAATAAATGGATGAATGTCTGCTATGCAAGGAATTGCTGGAGGCAAAACAAATGAAAGCATTCATTATCCTGGCTTTCAGAGGCTTCCACCTAAATTAGGAACAAGATAAACTTCAGGCCACACTAAACAAGATTAGAGTCAATGATGGACAAAAATGTCTTAGGACAGTACAGATGGCTTGCTAAAGGGATTATGCAGAGAATATCTGAGTTTTTGTTGGTAGAACAAAGTATATGCGAGTGGGACTTTGCTCAGAATGAAACTTTCTGGAAAATGTGCTGCCTCTGGTGAGGGTGGCTCTGCATCCACTGATAGACCTTGAACAATTTGCTGTTGTTCCTTTGGTTTGCACTAGGATGCGAAAGAAAGAAATCCCTGCGCTTTCTGCCTGTCTCTGTGGCGGCTCAGATTGAATAGGGGAATACATCTGCAGCCTAGAAATGTTAAGTAGCTTCATATTGGAAAAAAGTGTTAATACAATTTTCCCTTTTTTTTTTTTTTACAGTAACAAATTTGGCTATTACTTTGGATCTACACCTGTCATAACTGGCTGCTGCTTTTCATCCACACAACACCAGGACTTAGACAAATGGGACTGATGTCATCTTGAGCTCTTCATTTATTCTGACCTTGATTTATTTGGAGCGGAGGCATTGTTTTTAAGGAAAAAACATGTCATGTAGGTTGTCTAAAAATAAAATGCATTTAAACTCATTTGAGAGAATGCCTCTTAGTTTAATCCGTATTTAAATCCATCTTGTGTAGTGTTCCTGGAGAAGCTAGAGCCTGGTTGTAGACCACTACTAGAAAGCATAAGACTGCCTTCAGATCACTTCTACAGTGAAAACTACTTCCGGGACTGGAATATAAAAACCAAGAACCACAAGTCTTAATTCTGAGTTGAAGTAAAGGGAAAGACCATGCTCATAGCAGTGCCAACATTTGAAGTGGATTCCTCAGACATTTCATCACCTCCAAACGGAAGTAGTTAACCCTGGAAGAGATTACCAAAAGAATAAAAAGAGACTAATACAGTTGGAAGCAAAGTATTGTGTCAGCTTATTTATCCTAATTCAAGTAGACCCAAGTTCTAGAGAAATCTAGATGTCTCCTGGAATGAATGCTTGTCAAACTCCTTGGAATGGGGTTGACAGACTGGCTTGTCCTGCCACCTGTCTTTGTATGATTTTAAAGTGGTGGTTACATTTTTAAGTGGTTGAGAAAAAATCAAAGTAGCTTATGGGATGTGGAAACTTACAAAATCCAAATTTGTGTCCAGTTTTATTGAAACACAGCTATGCTCGTTTGTTTGTGCATTGACTGGCTCTGATGCTGCAAGAGCAGAGATGAGTGTGACAGAGACCTTTGGGCCTCAAATCCTGAACAAACCATGTGGCCCTTTACAGGAAAGGTTTGCCAGCCTCTGCTTTAAAAGATGAAACTATAGATTGAATATGGGATAGTTGGTGGCAGAGGAAAAAGCAACTGTCGGGGCAGTATATTGTATCTGGGAAGGCTGTGGGTATCAGAATGAGTATATGAAAACGCATCTATTTGACAGACCTGGAGCAGTTACTGTCTGCTGCTAAGGTTTCCACTACAGATGCAAGAAAAAGGTGTCCTCGCGCTTTCTTTCTGTCTCATTGTGGCAGCCAAGATTGAATGGGGGAATACAGGGGAAAAACATGGAGAGAATTTTTGCCACTTGGAAGTAACCTTGTAAACAGTGAAGAGGCTGTTTACTCCAAGGAAGAATCTAAAGTTTGAGTTTACAAGGGAAGTGTTGAAAACTGTTCCCCTACGCCTTTGCCTTCTGATTGATTACACTTTTAAAAGCTTATAGCTTAAAACTAAAGGCAAGCGAGAGATTCTTGTACCTGGTCATGTGGCATGTGAACCCAGCATGAATCCAGTGATTTGGCAATCGGGAACTTGTCTTAGTGACTGAAGTCCATTGGGTGGTTCAGAACCTGAGACGGATACAAATCAGGTTGGTAGCGCCCCCCCCCCGTCAAGCTGATGGCAATTTTAAGCCTTCTGATTTCTGACATTAAAATGTAGGTAAAGTGCCAATCACTGATCTAGGAGGCCTCTTGCCCTCTGAAACGTGGTAATGGGAGGATTTTCAAGTAGTGGTCAACGCTGTGGAGATGAAGATAGCTTGGTAGTGGGAGAGGTCTTGAGGTTACATCTAAGCTAAAACCTGATTTAGTGAGCTGGTCATGGAAAAGTCTGCAAGAACAGGAGTAGCATTGCAGCAGCTTTCTTCAGGAAGTGAAGAGTCCAGGTATTTGCCTAAGGATGCTTATTTCTGCTCTTTTTCTAGTTACTCGAGTTATATATATTCTCTTTTTCCTTTTTTGTTTGGTGAGGAAGATTGGCAATGAGCTAACATCTGCCAATCTTCCTCTATTTTGTATGTGGGATGCTGCCACATCCTGGCTTGATAGCGTTGCACAGGTCTGCACCCAGGCTGCAAACTGTAGGCTGCAGAAGCAGAGCACGCAAACTTAACCACTATTTTACCAGGCCAGCCCAACTCTTGAGGTATATTTTGTGCAAGAAAAATATGTGAATTCTATACACATCATAAGGCGTAGCATTTTGTGTCATTGATGCTAATTTGATTTGGGCATGTTCTTGGTGGCCTTTAAGCCCTAGGCTTTGTTACATAATGAACAATAAAGTGGAGAAAGGACTTTTACATAGGGTGGTCTAGGAAGGCCTTTGTAATACGATAATCGAATAGGAACCTGAAAGCAGGGAAATAGGCTATGTGGATATCTGGGGGCAGAGCATTCCAGGCAAAGCAAGTGCAGAGTCTGGAGTGTGCTTGACATGTTCTGAGGACAAGGTGGCCAGTATGCTGGACCCAAGATGGAAAGAGGAAACTGGATCATAAAGGAAAGCCACAGGAGGTCTTAGAGCAGAAAGGTGACTTGATCTGACCAAAAAGGGTCATTGTGGCTGCTGGGTAGCAGGGTAAAAGCAAAGAGAACAACCGTGTCTAATGAATATTTTTGGGTGAGATAGTGGCTTGGTCTAGGGTGGTAGTTGTGCAGATGGGTGGAAATTAAGGTAAAGACAACGGGATTTGCTGATGTGTTGAATGAGGTGAAAGAATGATTTCACAGTGATGTCAAGCGTTTTGTCCTGAGCATCTGGAAGAAAGGAGTTAACATTCAGAAGAGGAAGACTGAGGGTGGGAATCGAGTTTGGGTTTGGACAGGTTAAATTTGAGATGCTGATTCCTGGTTCGAATTGGGTAGGCAGTCGGGTATTTGGGAGGAGAGTGGAGAGGTCTAAGCTGGAGAATTTGAGAGAGTGGGATGGTCTCAGTACATGACATTTGAAGCCGAAACAACTGGGTGAGACCACTTGGAGAGTGGGTAGACGCAGCCCGCCAACATAGGGCTGGACCCACATGAACCAGTGGAGGTGATCTAAGAAGGAACTGCTCCTGAGCTAGGAACCAAGGGAGCAGCCTCCTGGAGGTCAACTGGAAGAAATGTTTTAGGAAGGAGGCAGCAGTCAACGGGGTTACCTGTGGAACACTGGTCAAGTAGGATGAGGACTAAGGTGAACACGTGGTTTGAGTAACAGGGAGAAAGCCTGGTTAAAATGGGCTCAAGAGACCAGCAATTTCACAGGCAGCATATTGCCCTTGAAATGTCTTAATACAAGTCCATGGTTTTTATTACATGTGCATCTGCTTAAGTAATAGAGGTGTGAATGACTCACATTTGAATCATTAGGCATTTTTCTTAAAATCTAGTTAAATCCCCAGTAAATGTTGTGTTGATGTAAACTCCATCATCTGAACTGCAAGGTTAACCAATAACTCAACAAATTAAACTGGTAATGATCACAATTATGGTAAAATTGAAAGAGGAGCCAAAACCTCAAGCAGCTTGGGGAAAAAACCCTGATAAAGCATCCTAAACTTCTGAGCATCTGTGTGCATGTGCATGGAGCTGAGCGACTTTGGCTAGCAGCCAGAATACTGTCTGTAAGATGGAGCTAAAACCAGGGGGACCTGAACTCATCTTAGTGACTATAAAGTTACGCTTATTAGGTCACTGCTGCACAACCCTTAATTCGTGGTAAAAGAATGGCTGACAGCCCTCTGATGGGCCGCAAACCTATTCCTGCAAAAGAGCTCAGTTTTGTGGCAATTGGCATGTTTTTCCAGAGACTGCCTGTAAGAACTGAGGGCCCAATTTGATGTTTTTAGGTAGATTTGTGATCTGGGGCTATGGACCATACTGGAAAAGCAATGAATTAAAAACTTTTCTCTTGATACTGCATAGAAATGTGAGCTACTTTGATATTTAGTTCTTTAGGTAACATTTAGCATTCCATTATTCCAAAGGACGAGTATTTGACGTGTTTAACATACACAACTAAAGAAAAAGGGTGATAAAGTTAACTGCTCTGACAGCCATCTCACTAAGGATTCTTCAAGCTTGGAGTTGCAGATGGGGTTAATAACGCTGGTGGTTTATATCTGTCCCACCGAATTCCTCCAAGTCCCTCCCTCAGGCAGCGCCGCAATAGTGTGTCTGGCTGTGCTTGTTGGTGGCATGCTTTTTTTTTTAGATTTTATTTTTTCCTTTTTCTCCCCAAAGCCCCCCGGTACATAGTTGTATATTCTTCATTGTGGGTCCTGCTAGTTGTGGCATGTGGGACGCTGTCTCAGCGTGGCTTGGTGAGCAGTGCCATGTCCGCGCCCAGGATTCGAACCAACGAAACACTGGGCCGCCTGCAGCAGAGCGCGCGAACTTAACCACTCGGCCATGGGGCCAGCCCCTGGGGGCATGCTTTTAACTACTGGGTCGATCCAGTTTATTTCCCAAGAGTCTGTATGTAGATTGTGGATTTGTGCTATTATACATGGTTTCATATAACAGGCCTGGGATTGGCGTTTAAGATTCCTCCATATGCTGGGGATGTGGTTTTAGCAGGATTCCATACAATTCAGTGAGGAAAATGTCAACTGTGAGCCTAGGGGAAGATTCTTCCCGAAGTAATTGCCTGTTCAGTGTTTCCTCAATTACTGCTTCCTCCCACCACCCCCTCCAGGCTTGACATCTCCATTCGTTTAGATATGCATAGTGCTCTTTTTTCTGAGCTTTTGAGGTAGAGCAGGGAAGACAGACTGGGGTGAACGCCTTATGCAGTGTTTTTGCATGCGTGAGTCACAGTTTATGGGTGGAGTCAGACTTCAGGTGACTCACCTGAAGGGTCCTCTGACGGAGAGGACACACCACAACTGCTAGTCAAGAGCGCAGTATTTTTAATAGTTCTAGTTCTGTAGAGCTACTAGACATTCAGTCCTGAGGTGGGTTTTTTTTTCTTTAAGGAAGATTAGCTCTTGTCCACCCATCCTCTTTTTGCTGAGGATGATTAGCCCTGAGCTAACATCCGTGCCCATCTTCCTCAAGTTTTTATGTGGGACGCCTGCCACAGCATGGCTTGACAAGTGATGTGTAGGTCCGCACGGAGGATCTGAACTGGCAGAGTGTGCGAATTTAACCACTGCCACCAGGCCAGCCCCCAGTCCTCGCTTTTTAACATTTAGTTTGACACTAGAAATCCAGTCGTGTACTTGGTGATTTTCCTCATGTAAAGACAGCAGACATGTCCTGGTTTATTAATATGCAAGCCCTAGCTTATCGACTGCACCTTGCACATGGCCTCATCTGGAGCGCTGGGTTATTAAATTATTCTACCCAGTGCAGAATCTACCATTCCCTAAACAGCTGGTAGAAATTTGACCAGTCGCAGAGAAAGCTGGTATTTTGTGGACATCTATTCAAAACAGGGCTATACATGTAATTTCCTTTTCCTTGAGTTACATTAATTTGGAAGTCTCCCTCAAGAACTGCCAATTTGTCATGTTAGTCAAATACCCAAACTAATACTCAACCTGGTGGAAAAAACTAGCAAGTGAAGGGGAGAAATACTGCACATGAAATTAAAAGGAGAACATTAACACTTTTGACTGCCTCACTGAGGTAATGTATATCAACAGATGGCAAGTATAAAATTGGAAGCTAAGAAAACTCAGCTGTTGCTGGGAGGCATAGTGTCTTTCTCCCTCACTTTCCTAGCACTCCGTCCTGCCTAAAGCTCCTCCATTAGGAATCTGCAGGATGGAGTTTTTCGAGTGGAAGCTGTGCTGGGTGTCAGAGCCCCTGGTGACTGCCATAATATCAACAGGCTGGTAAATAACAACTGCTGGCATCTGTTAAAAGCAAAAGTGACTAAGCTTCTGAAAATTGGTTAAGTAATGTGCGACCTGTTCTCTGCCCCACAGACGAGGGAGGAGGAGACAAAGGAGGACTGGGTGTGAATGTGAGAGCAACAGAGATGTTAGCATCCTAAGCGCAACGTGGAGGCTTGTTTGTCTAAGGCAGTTACTAAACCCTCTGGTTCATGGGGTGTGAGAGTTGTGCCAAACTCCTTCCAACTACTGCTTAGCTTCCCCTGTCAACGTCCAGTGATCATTTTGCTCAATATTCTCTCCCCACACCTCGGGTTGCCTGTGTCTAAAGCGCCTTCCTATTCCCCCTACCCAGTCTCCTGGCCATATTCGCTGATCTTACTCTGTAACGCACCACACAACTCACCACTCCCCTTGGTTTCCTCCTGTTTGCAGCGCGCGCAGGGCCAGCCTCGTGGGCATGCAGCATGTGCAGTTGCCCTGCACTTAGAAGGGCTGCGTGCTTGGTTTAATGCTCTGCTTTCACTGTCTTGGAATTCCTAAAACAAAAGGGCCCCCCATTTTCATTTGGTACTGGGCCCCACAAATTATGTAGCAAGTCCGAAATGCATGCATGTGTGGATATGAGAGGTGTGTGTGTTCTGTTAGAGGTTGGAAATTGCTGGGTGGAGCAAGATAAGTTCAGAAGTAGAGACAACTTGTTGGGCAGTGAATTTTGGTCTCTTGTGCAGATGATAGGCAGGTGACCAATGTATAATCAGATTCACTCAGGTATACTAAAAGTGCAAATGTAAGCTTTGAGTATATAGATTTTGACATTTGACTCTTCTCCAAAGGAGATATGTGAGAATAGCTGTGGACTCTAAAAAGGAATAGGACAGTTTTAGGGGTTAAGCACCTCTACCAGACTTTGCCATCGCAGATAGAGAATTTTGTTGTTTCTAAATCATAGTTAAGATGCGTGAGCACACAACCCAGGAATGACCCATCTGATGTAGTAACTGTTTCAATAGGGTTATTTCTCAAGATGTATCCAAACTGCTAGCTGGGACTTGTGCATTTAATCATTCTACTTTGTATCTAGGTGTAGAACCTGGGAAGGTATAAATAGAAAAGGGTTTTTCTTTTTGTTTTTTTTTGAGGAAGATTAGCCCTGAGCTAACATCCGCTGCCAATCCTCCTCTTTTTGCTGAGGAATACTGGCCCTGAGCTAATATCCGTATCCATCTTCCTCTATTTTATGTGGGACGACTGCCACAGCATGGCTTCACAAGCGGTGCCATGTCCACACCCAGGGTCCTAACCGGTGGACCCTGGACTGCCAAAGCAGAACCTGCGAACTTAACCGTTGTGCTGCTGGGCCTGCCCCAGAAAGGAATTTTTTTAAGGAAGAAACCTGCCATTGCCTCCAATATAAACGTATAATGAAATTCTATACAAAGCCCTTCATAATTGGGCCACTTGCCTACCTGTTCAAGCTTACCTGTCCCTCCCCATCTGCCCTTGGCTGCCCCGACTGTCCCTTTGCATGAGCTCTTCTTTCTCCTGAAAAGTCCTCGTGTTCATTTCTGTGAGACTGCTGCACTTTGTTTCATCTCGGGAGAGTTTACCAAGTCCTGCAACCCTCCCACCCAACCCGCACTCACGCTTGAGTGAGGTGACCCTCTTCTGCTTTACTGAAATCATTGATTCCTTGTCCTTGCATCACCGTTATTCCTGCAAGTAAGGACAGGTGTTGGCAGTCTTCCTTGTTTGCCAATGGCATTCAGGAGGGATATGCTGATAGAGTAAAGAATGAGATCTCACTGGGCCCTGAGATGCTTTGGGCCATCATGTTCCCTGGGTCGCTCCTGTACTTTTCAAATGCAGTCACTAAATTTGGAAAAGTGGATAATTAGATGAGAATGTTTTGGTCTGAAGAAGAGCAGTATCTTCTACCTGAAGTGTGTTTTGCTGAAGCCGTTAGTCCTGGTACCTAATCTCAAAGTAAGGCATGTATATGATGTCTCTAGAAAGATACATAAAGATAGAAAATCTCTGGAAGAAAACTGGAAACACTCTAGAAGGGAGACTTTTCACTGTGTACCTTTTGTAATTTTTGAATCAAGTCAATGTATTACCTACTCATTAAATGAATTGAGTTTTTTTAAATGCTGAGCCCCACGTCAAACCTACTGAAACAGAATGTGTAGCTTTTTGAAAGTCCCTCTGGGGATTCCACCACCTGTGGGGGGCTAAGGAACCACGATTGTAGCAGGAAGTACAGAACTATCTAGTGACTTCCTTAGACAACTGAGTGGGAAACTGCCAACATGGTTGGCTTGTAGTTGCTGCCCTCTTATTAGAACAAAATGTAAAGCACCAGAGTGGAAAGGAGTATTAAAAGTCAACAAATTCTCCCACTCAGTGCTCAGGGGCCTCAACCCATGGCCCTCTTGACCCAGGTGCCCTGAGCGCCCTGCAGTGCTCCAGGTGTGGCTGGCCCTCATTTTCCACGTGTTCTGCTTAATGCAATAATATTTGAATGCAGCCTAAACTTACATTTGGGTTTTTTTTGGGGGGGGGGGGGGCGGGGTGTGTAACAGTATTACATAGGTGACTCATACTGAGTTTTCTACCAGCTAAAACTCCGAAGTCTTTCTTCATGACTGCTGCCGCCCCCCAGGCCTGCCCCGCACATACACTGGTGCGGCTGGGTTTGAGCGTCATATATAGGAACTCACGTTGTGATATCTTTTTTCCACTTGGCACACCAGATGTTTCAGCATCTGATTTGTGTTATACATGTTTTCCTTCTTAATTCTTTTTTTGTTTTTTGAAATTCCATTTTAGATTTGCTAAAACAAAATGAAAGATGATGCCATTTTGCATCAATTTGGCAAATTTAAAAAAAAATCAGTATTTCAATTTCTGGAAGAAAGCATGCGGGATGAGGATGGTGCAGTGGCAACATTTTGAAATCTGGGTTCTAATTAAAGCCCCACCACTTACTAACTGTGAGAACTGCAGCATCTTAACTTCTCTAAGCCTCAGTATCTTCATCTGGAAAACAGATGCTAATACTTACCTTGGTGGCTGATTCAGTAAATGGAGGCCATCACAGGAGTGCCTTTACCATGAGAAGGTCTTAGAATGCTGGTCTCTACTGTGAATTAGGTGCGAACTACAGGATGCCTGTTTGCATTCTCTGATTTTTGTGTAGCCCTGAGAAAATATTTCAAGAATATGTTTAGCCCATGTGCATTACCTACTCCCTGGTTGCTGTCCTCAAACCCTATTTTCACTCAAAATCTCCTTGCCATCACACACTTAGTGGTTTGCTGGAAGCATGGGCTGTGGAGTATATCTTGGATGGGGAGCCATGAGCCCTGGTTCCAGTGCTGGCTCAGACTCCCAAGGCCACAGAGCCTTATCCAAAATAAGATGATTAAACTAGATGACCCCTAGTTTAATCTCTAGGTCCTTTCCATCTTCTATAAATGTCTACTCACTGAGCCTCTAAGGCTATGCTTCTCTATTAAAACTCTTTTGAGCTACTCTTAGACTTGCCCAGGGTTAACAAGTAGTTAGATGTCACTTTAAAATGGGCTAGCCTAACACCTTCCTGTACAGCATGAATCTCTTCTCTGAGTGCTCATATTCTTTTTGTTTCCAAAACAAAACTCTGAAAATGCAGAGTTGATCCCAGTCTTGAAAGCTGGTGCCTTTTTTCTTGGTCTGTTTCTGGAAGAAGCACTTGAAAGACGGATGAAAGGCCCATAGATGCTGTTGCACCTGGCCCTGGTCTGGAGCTGCCAGATCACAGCACCACAACATTTTCTTTTTTTTTTGGTGTTCAAATATAATTTATTCCTCATCTGTCCCCCTATACGACGTGAGCCCTGCAAGGGAGGGGATGAAGCTGTCCAGTGCACGGAGAAGCGTCTGCAAACACGATGACAAAACATGCCCCTCTTCTCATGTTAAGGCATTTGTGGCATCTGGATCGTCTGTTTGCTGTTCACTTCTCCCTCCTGCGGCCACCCCACCATGGGGGATGCCGGAAACTCCCTCAGCACTTTCAACAGGCACCCAGTCTGGGAGCAGGATGGAAAATATGTGCCCAAGGACATTATGGAGAAGGGACACCTACATAGTTGGATAATGCTAGACATCCGAGGCCACAAATACTGTTGTCCTCTCTCTTCTGAGAACCTGAGATCTAAGAAGGTCCAGGCTTAGAGTGCTACAGAAATAGGGATTTATGATACAAAAAGGGAAGAATTTCCTAACTACCACCATGGCTATCAGGCACTGACATGACTTACTTGTTAACGAGGTTGTATGGAGTGATTAATATGGCACAGATGGGAGTCTTGCTGAGTGTTTTTCATGTCCCTTCATAGAGGCAGGGGCTGCGTGAAAGCACGAGATGACAGGTGGGGTCTTGTAGCTTTGGGACTTGATGGCTTCTCTCGAGGCCTCGTGATATGGTTGCAGTATATCGTCTTCCTTCTCTTCCTGCTTGCGCCCTCATCCTATTTTCTCCCTTCACTTCATCCCGGTATTCTTGGACCCTGCCTCCCTCCCACTAAGATTCTGGTTCTAACTGAAGTAAAAAACTAGACCAACGTCACTTATCTCATTGTATCTATCACAGGCGGATTTTTCATAGTCCTTCTTGGAGAGAAAAGAGGACTGGGCTGAAATGTTTCAGAGTTGGGATACGTGGTAAGTTGATTGAATGATGGCCCCCAAGGCCTCCCTGTATGGTTTCCCTTTGCATGTGGCTTTGTAGTTCCTCCTACCAAGAGGTGCTATCTATCACCTGCTCCTCCACCAGCAGCCTTGTGACTTGCTTTGACAGTGAGAATGTGGCAGAAATGTTAGTGCGATAGTTACAGTTTAGGCTTCAAGAGACCTCAAGCACTTCAACTCTCTTTCGGAGCACTGCCTCCACCAGAACAATGCCAAGCTAGCTGCGGGAAGATGAGAGACCACGTGGAGTAGAGATGAATTATTCCAGCTGCGATCATCCTAGAGCAGCCAGCTGACCTGCCAGCCAACAGCAGATGACAAAGCCTGGACACAATGAAACAAGACCAGAACCGCCCAGCTAAGCTCAGCCTAAACTGCTGATTCACAAGATCTTAAGCTAAACAAATGGTTGCTCTTTTAAGGCATGAAATTTTGGGATGGTTTATAATGCAGCCTTATTTTGATAATAGGTAACTGTTTCAGGAGAAGACAAAGGAATGGTTCTGATAGTTAGACCTACAATAACTCCTACATCTGTATCACCAGCCAAGACTTCTCCCCTGATCTCCAGACCGCTATATCCCACCACCTACCCTTCATCTCCATGACCAAAGCCAAGCTCTTGATAAAACCCTCAGATTTACTCCTCCTACAGCCACAGACTTCTCTGTCTCAATAAATGAATAACAACTCCATCTTTCCAGTTGCTCGGGCTGAAAACCTGGTCTCACCTTTGAATTCTCTCACATTCCATGTCCAGTTTATTAGCAAATTCCATGAGCTCTCCCTTCAAAATATATCCAGAATCTTCCCACTTTTCACTATCTCCATGGTTACCACCCTGATCCAGGCCCCCAGCATCTCCTCACTGGATTATTGCAGCAGCCTGCTGACTGCTTTCATGCTTCCAAATTTATCAGTCTATTCTCAACATACTTATCAGGGTGACCCTTCTAGAACTATCGGATCATACCTCTTCTTTGCTCAAAATTCTCCATTGGCTTCCCACCTCTCCCACAGTAAAAATGCAAAGTCGTTACCATGTCCTGGAAAGCCCTTCATGATCTGGACCCTCCCATCTTGATGACCTCATCTCTCTCTCTCTCTTGCTTACTATGCTCTTCCTACACCAAATATTCCCAATGCAACTTGGGACATACTTATACTAAAAAATTATTCCTTGTTTATCTGAAATTCAAATTTAACTGGGTATCCTGTATTTTACATGGCAACCCTAAGCAGATATGCTTCCTCTTCACAGACTTTGCACTGGCTGTTTCCTCAGCCCAAATACTTTTCCCTGAGAGCCACATGGCTCATGCTGACCACCTTTAAGTCTCTGCTCAAAGGTCATCTCGTCAAAATCAGAGCGGCCTTCCCTGGCCACCCCACTTAAAACTACACCCCTACCCTGGTATGCTCAACTGCTTTCTTTATTTTTCACATGTCCCTTATTTCCGTCTAACACACAATGCATTTTCCTCGCTCATTTGTTTATCATCTGTCTCCACTTCCTCTCCCTGCAAGCTCCAAGAGGGCGTGGCTTGGTTCTGTTCTGGTTTGCTCACCGCTGTATCCTCAATCTTCATCCACTTAGCAGGATGGTGCGCAATACGTTTGTCACAGGATTGAAAGGATGCAGATACTACTGATGCTGTGCAGTGTGTGGCCTGCATCTGCTGCTTTTTAAAAAAATCAAAATATTTCATATCATAGCTTAACTTGTTAAATTTAATGATTACAGCAAAAAACATCAGTCCCTTTACCCTATTCCTCCCAGGCGATTTCTACTCTCTGAAGTCATCACTGGCTGCTTATTTACTGTTTTTTCTTCTTCTTCGTCTTTTTTTTGGAGGAAGATTAGCCCTGAGCTAACATCTGCTGCCAATCCTCTTTTTGCTGAGGAAGACTGGCCCTGAGCTAACATCTGTGCCCATCTTCCTCTACTTTATACGTGGGACGCCTACCACAGCATGGCTTGCCAAGCGGTGCCATGTCCACACCCGGGATCTGAACAGGCGAACCCCTGGCTGCAAAAGCAGAACGTGCGCACTTAACCACTGCGCCACTGGGCCGGCCCTTCTTTTTTTTTCTAACTGCTTAAGTCTAACTTGCATCAACTATTACTTCTTTATTTTTCATTTTCATGGTTTACATATTATCTTTTGACTTTCTCCCTGGAAGATGAAGATTTAGCTTTCATGCTGCCTGTAACTCTCAGCTCTTCTCTCCCCTGAGCCCCCCACTTCTCCTTCCCCATCCTCCCTATAGTTATCTCACAATTTGGTTAATTTAACAATCATGATATTACTATTTATTTTTCCAAATTGAGCCATATGTACAATTTTTAATTTTTAATTAGTGTTTAATAGTTGCCGGAGCTAATAACTCTCATATTCCCCAATGTTCAGTTTCCTATGTACTCATCACTAACCCGTCCCCTGAGCTCTCTGCAAGCAGTGTAGGTTTCCTCCCAGCACCTGAAGCGCTCCAGGAACCTGCCAGACCCCCTGCTTATTTTCTTGGAGAGCTCCCCGGGAGCCCTCTGCCATTCTGCTCCAGGCTGGACTGGTGTCCACCCTGCTGCCCTGTCATGTGGAGACTCCTCTGCCCCTTGGCCTGGGATTCACTCCCCACCTAATCCCACATTTCCTCTTTCCTCCTTGGTGAGGCAGCTCTCTATGGCTTATGGAGCGGTTATATTTTTCTTGTTCGAGACTTGGCTTGAATAATATATCCTTATTCTCTCATACTTGATTGACAATTTGGCTAAGGATCAACTTCTAGGTTAGGAATAATTATCTGTCAGATTTTCACGTTGACCCAAAACTGACTGTCTTCCAGCTTCGAGTGTTGCTGCTGAGGAGATGGCTATTCTAAGTGCCATTTTTTTGTATGAGACTTGCTTTTTTGTCCTTTCTGGGAGTTTTTAGCATCTTCTCTTTGTTCATGATGATCTGAAATTTCATAATGTTGTTCCTTGATACGTGTCTTTTTAAATTTTCTGTGAGACACTTGATCCGTTATTTCAACTTGGAAACACGTTTTTCATTTCTTGGAAATTTTCTTGAAAAAAAAAGTTTCTTTTTTTGGTATTTTCCTTCCATCTTCTCAGTTCTTACTTTCTGGATTAGTCAGATATGGGGTCTCTTGGGCATGCTTCTCAAGGGTGATTTTCAGTGTAATCTGGACGTCAGTGCCATCGAGGGGGCCAGTTTATGTACAAGGTGTCAGGAGGCTCAGGCATGACTATAGCAGGGCTCCATTCCTCTCTGCTTCGATTGCATGACTTGCATGTGAAGAGACCACCTTGTTAGCATGTGGCTGTGTGCTGAAGGTCTGCAGGTAACACTGGGGAGAGTTGTAAAAAAAGTACACACAGAAGCTACTGGGGTTAGGGAAAATCAGAAGTACTTCCTCATATTTGTACCATGTTTTATAGATTGAAATGCATTTTTACATACTTTATTTCACAGAACGTGGGTCAAAATCTCCAAAGTTTCCTTGGCAGCCCCCTCGGAGTAGTGAGCGTGGACCTAGGCGAAATGGGAGACCTGAGTCGTAACTTACCCGTCCTTGAGAAGACGACCTGCCCCCTAGGCTAGACGACTGTGGGGTTTTTCGGTTTGTGTTTAGTGATTGCCGTTCTGCCTGGAGAAATGTCTGCACTGCTACTTCTCGGTGTGTTGCACTGGCACAGTGGGCTGGGTACACTGTGCACGGCAGCGAGGCCCAGGGGAGAGTGTGTGTCCTTATGTAATGACACGGTGCTTTGCTAGGCACCCAGCCCAACTCCTGTCACCCGCCCCGCGTGGGAGTTATTACACAGCGACATTTCCCTGCAGTCTCTCGTAACATTAGCCTTTCCTTCTCTTTCTTAGATTTCTTTAAAACATTTCCCTTATGTATAAATAACTTCTTTAAAAAGTCTGAGAGTAGCTCTAACCTTCCAGGTTCTAGCAGGAGGTTAGTGCTAAGAAAAAGCTTCCATTTTTGCCCCATTATTTTGTTCTTCATTTATTTAATAGCGGCCTAGACTTTAATCTGAATATAGTCCAAGGTTCTGAGAGCACTGCAGGAATCTGAAACCAATCGTACTGTCAGTAAATTGCCACTTTAAATCCCACTTACCCTGTCTGCTCACACTCCTTACACAGTTTCCGCTCCTTGGGCAACCAAAAGTTTAACAGGCAAGTTTTAATGAGCTCTCTCTTTTTCCCAATAATCTAACCTAAACTATCGGAGAAAAATCTTGCCTTACATTGTTGTGACTCCAGCCCAGTGCTGCCCGAACTATCTGTGGTAAAGGGCTGATTTTCTTTAGATGTCCAATTTGTTGTGGACTGGTAGCAAATGTAAAATGCAATAAATATGAGTTACCAGAAAAGTGAATTAGAAAATGTAAAGGAAAAACACTCCTGTGTGTCTCCTCTACTCTCAATCTCTATTCACTTCTGACATTTCTAGTCACCAAATGTGTGTTTAAGTTTTTCCACTCACCAAGCAATTCTGCGACACCAGCTGGGTGTCCTACAATTTAACTCAATTCTGACACTGTCTACCCAGAGATAGTGTCAGATCCCACTGATTAAGAGCTCAGTCCTACAGGACTGCCCCCCCTTCAGATGCCAATCATAAGTCCAGGTTACCCGTGCTTCTAGAAAATGGAGGGTCCCACGCCCCCTCCTTGGGTTGGATTAATTTGCTAGAGCGGCCCACAGACTTCAGGAAAACATTTTACTTACTGGATTACCAGTTTGTTATAAAAGATTATAACTTAGGGACAGCCAGATGGAAGAGATGCACAGGGCAAGTATGTGGGAAGGGATCCAGAGCCCCCGTGTCCTCTCCAGGTGTGCCACCCCACCCTTCCACCATGCAGATACGTTCCCAACCCGGAAGCTCTTGGAATTCCTTTTCAGTTTTTATGGTATGATTGATCAAATCACTAGCCACTGGTGGTTGAACTCAATCTCTAGCCCCTCTCCACTCCCCGGAGGTCAGGGAAGGAGGGGCTGAAAGTGCCAACCATCTCATCACGTGGTTGGTTTCCCTGGCAGCCAGCCCCCATCCAGTGGGACTTTCCCAAAGTCACTTCGTTAATATAAACTCCGAGGTGGCTGAAAGGGACTTGTTATGAACACCAAAAACACACATTTCACCTTTATCTTCTGGAGCTATTTCAGGAACTGGGAACAAAAGATGCCCTATAGCTCTTATCACTTAGGAAATTACAAAGGTTTAAGGAGCTGTGTACTGGGAACCCTGGATAAAGACCAAAATACATATTTATTATAAATCACAATACCACAGAAAAAAAACAAAACATACACGATCTAGTTCTAAAATTTTATTAGATTTTTGGATTATATTTTTATATGCAACAAAATAATCCTGTCAAATTGCCTTGAAAAGTTTCTAAACGCTGTTAAATTAATTAAACAAGGAGGCCAGCAGACTGAGTTGGCTCTAATACCTTAGTAGCCTACTTAGCAAACCCAAACCTAAGCCTGTAAATGCCTCAAGGTCAAGGAATCAAAACCCAAGGACAACCAATCACAAACAGCCAGCTAGGCTTTCCCAAAGAGGCAATCGCTTAACTGCAGCCAATCAAATCATCTCCTTGCTTTGCTTCCACCTTTGCTCCTTTGCTCCATAAAAGTCCCATGTCGTGTGTGTGTGTGTGTGCGCGCGCACACGCGTGTGTGTCCCGTCGCCCCCTCATCCCCTCCCCCCTATTGGTGGAACACTCCTAACCACTTACGGTTTGGCAGTGCTCAAATCAAATCATTTTTTCTCAAATAACCTCTAAAATTCCTTAATACGCCTCAGTTTATCTTTCAGTAACACTCAGTTTCTGCCCCAGACTGAGGACCTGTGACATGTTGGGTAACTGTGCTGCAGTCAATACTGGCCTGAACTTTACCTAGTTTTGAATTCTAAACATTGCAATCCAAACATTTCACTCCCTTTTTTAAAAGCTTGCCAAACTCTTTGGCCTGTCTTTCAAAAACTTCCACAGTGTGTCCCAAGCATATTTTTTAAAAAACACATTTTACTGAGGTGTAATTTATAAACAATCAATTGCACCTATTTAAAGTTCACAATTCCATGAGTTTTGATGGACGTGTATGCCCACGAAATCACCACCACGATCACGACACAAAGCATTTCCATCGCCCCAAGAGATCCCTTGTGCCCCTTTGTAGTCCATTTGGCCCCAGTTCTAGGCACCCTCTGCTTCTGTCACTATAGATTAGTCTTGCCTTTTCCCTTCATTCATTCTAATGATTCTGAGATTCGTCCATGTTGTTGGATGTATTGGTAATTTTCTTCTTTATATTGCTGTGTGGTATTCCCATTGAATCCTTCTGATGTTTCCAGCTTTTGGTTATGGTGAATAAAGCTGCTATGAACATGTGTGCATTCGTCTTGAGTGCACATATGTTTCATTTCTCTTGGGTAAATACCTAGGAGTAGAATGGCTGGGCTATAAGGTAAGTGAACATTTAACTCCAAACCAATTTTTCCAACTCTATTTCCCACTATTCCTCTTACCCACCTTTGAGTCAAACTGAACTATTTACTTTTTCTCAGACATGACCCAAGATCTGCTGCTTCTATGCCTGTCTTCACGTTAATCCTCTGGCTTGGAACATCCCTTTCCAGATCACCCCATCTACCTTAGCTCGGTTCAAGTACCATCCCCACAAAGGCCTCTTTCTTCCTCTCAGTCAGAAGAGACTGTTCCCCCTTGGAAAGTCCACAGAGCTTTAGTTGTACCATTCTATTCATCTTAGAGCTCTTGTTCCTCTATTAGATCCTGAGTATCCTTGATGGCAGAGTCCAGTTTGGAGCCCTCCTCCCCAAAGGGCCTAGTTCAGTTCTTTGCACAGGGTAGGCACTCAGCAAATGTTTGTTGAATTAAGGAATATAATTTGTGAAGCAAGGAGAGAGTCAGCATACAGGGTGTTTGAGAAAAGGGAATGGGGAGAGAAGAAAGCTAAAAATGGTTACAATAGCTCTCCTGGACCAATCTTTTTCAAAAAAAAGACTAAGAACCTGTCTACCTCACATGGTGTGAGGTGTTATTTAAAGGGTGCCAAGATATCCTGGTTCTCTGTATCCAAAAATAGCCCTCCCCTAGTTGACCTGCTGGCATATCTGAATTTCCATCACTGAATATCCATTCCTATATACAAATTGAGTATCAACAATTGGTAATATCACCAAAAAAGAGACAATAAGCATTAAGTGCTTCCTGATGGAAGAACACAACACCACCTATGAAATGGTCTTGTCAAAAAGATCAAACCTGAATCTACTTGACATGCAACTACCAGATGACAGCAACTGCAGAGACAAAGGATGTATGAAACGACATTATAGTGATGCCATCACCAAAGTCCTGACTCGAGGGGATTCTGAAGGACAAATAACCTGGGTTTTTTTTCTTTTTTAAAAAACAAATTGAAATAAGAAAGAAAGAGGGAAACTATCAATTAAGAGACTAAAAAGATGGATGAATTGGAAAGAGGGATTAATTGCAAATTATGGACCTTATTTGGATCCTGACTGAAACAAATTGTAAAAAAAAATTATGACATCAATGGTATTATGGTTATTTTTTTTAGAGTCAATCTTTTAGAGAATATTATATCTGAGATTTATTTCAAAACAATATAGAAAAGGAGAAGTGGATGGTGTTACAGTGGCAATGAGTTCATAACTATTGAAGCTGGATGACGGGCACATGAAGGTTCATTGTATTATTGAGATTTTCCATAACCAAAAATTAACGAATAAAAAAGACTACCTTTGAGTCAAATTTTTGGAGCTTTAAAAGGCCTTTTTAAAAAATGTAAGCCCTCCCAATAGGCTGACACATTAACAAATTATAAGTCATGAACACCTTAGCTCTTGATGGTGTCCAATAGCTTAAATGAAATGCCTACCTTCCTCAGCCCAGCCTTTCACCACCGCAGCCCCCTACCCTCTCCAGCGTCTCCCTCACCAAACCCCCATCCAGCCCCCAACATATCCTCCACTTTCCCGCATCCATCCATCCCCTTGCTGCTCATGCCATTTCACTTCCTGGAATGCTCCCTATTCCATCCTCTACTTGGTCAAACCCACTGATCTTTAAAGATCCAAATAAATGTTGCTTTCTCCATGAGTGCTCCCTCATCCCCCTCAGTCAGAATAAATCACAGCACCCCTGATGCACACCTAAGAGCTTTGATTAAACTGCCGATTCCATATACTCAGCACCTTGTGTTAAATTATAGTGAATTCTGGGTTCTTCTCCAATTCAAATCAAGACAGACTTTTTTGGTAGATTAACGCTTTTGGTTAATTTATTTTATCCATTCTAACCTTAGTCAGGGCTAGACAACCTTCACTTAGAGGCACAGTTAAGGTTTGTCCTTTGGCCAGAATTAAGCAGGCCTCGCTCAGGTTTGATGGTGTGCAGGGCTGCAAACTCAGATGGCTACACATGCTGCCAGGCATGGTCTGCTGGAGGCAGGCTGAGGAGAGGCTCTGGCAAAATGGAGAGCACATGCCCTGGTCGAAAGGTCGGTTGACCACCCACCTCCAGTGAACTGTGGTCCTGAGGGGACGAGGGTCCGCCGTCGTTAGGTCATCTGATTTTTCAGGAAAAGCCAGGAATCTTCTCTCGCACAGCTCCCTTTCAAGGTCCAAATGTTTTTGTAAAATTTAGAAAAACTGGATATTATATCTACTCTAAGACTGCTCTCTCTTTCTACTATGATTTCCTCTTGATCACTCTCCCTCTAGGACTGGGTGGCAATGAAGTGGCTACAGACATTTTTGGAATCCTACCAAAGGGAGGTTGAGTTGGGGGTACGTTTAGTTTGTGTTTAGCGGGATCGATTTACATGGTTTGTAGTTATTTGCATGTATAATTCAGTTACTGCCAGCCATCTGGCATAGGAATGACTTCCAGAAATTCTTCTACCACCCACTGTGGCAATTCACCTAGAATTGTGACATGTGACTTAAATAAAAGGTCAGAGGTCATATCATGATACAAACTTCCAGTGCCCAACATTGGAAGTATGTAGATGGTGGAAGAGAAACAAGGTATAAAATGCATCAAGTCAGAAGCTGGCCTATGGAAAAGTCATCCATTCCTCAGATGAGGAACTCTCTATAAAATTCTGTTACTAAGTCATTTTGTATAACTAGTGAGATGAGAATGCAGCATTGCCAGATCTTTTGATTTTTCAAGAGAAACTGGATGGCTCATATGTTTTTGTAAATATCTGCAGAATGAAAAGGTGGCCGAACAGTTAAGTTAATGTGCTCCGCTTCAGCGGCCCAGGGTTTGCAGGTTCGGATCCTGGGCGCAGATCTAGCACTGCTCATCAGGCCATGCTGAGGCTGTGTCCCACATAGAAGAACTAGAATGACCTACAACTGGGATATACAATTATGTACTGGGGCTTTGCTTTGGAGAGGCAAAAAAAAAAAAGAAGGAAAATTGGCAACAGACGTTAGCTCAGGGCCAATCATCCTAAAAATACACATATACATATACAGGGAAAAATATTCAAATGTGACAAGCAATTAATAAAAATATTATTTTTCTAAATATCTGTCAGCTTTTTAAAATTACAAGTTTTTAAATTTATTTTTCATTTGAAATCATGGGTTTTCAACTTTTTTTTCTCTTTGCTGTGGACCTCTGTGGCAGTCTGGTGAAGCCAATGAACCTCTTCTCAGAATAATGTTTCTACATGTATAAAATAAAGTACATGTGATTACAAAAGACACCACTGAAATACAGTTATCATGATATTAAAGAAACAAATTTATCATAGAGCAATATATTTACTTCTTAGTGCATTAAATAAGATCTAGTGCAGGCCTGGTAACCACAGAAACGGTAATGACGAGCATGAAGGATATTCTGAGTTATCTGCACAACCGTGCAGTCATGTGTGACTCTATCAGTGACAAAGTCACAGGTACTGCTCTTACAACTGTGGTGTGCTGCTTACATTCATAATCGAAGAAAATGCTACATTTCAGCTAAAGATTAATGAAAATAAAGCTGTACTTTTTTTCTACCCAAGGGCACAGCTCCTGAATTTTACCCATAGGAGGTGGGAGGGAGTGTTCATGGACCCCAGGTTAAGAACACCTTTAAATGTTCACTTTCATACCTCATTTTGGATTGATAATTTTGCTTATTTCCTTAAATAAGGCCTCCCCAGTTATATCAGCTTTAGGGCCTATAAAACCTGATCTATCTTCAAAATATATCTAGATGATGACCACTTCTCATCATGTTCACAGCCAACACCCGGGGCCAAGCCACCTTCATCGTCATCCTTCACCTGGACTCTCCATGGGCTAATGGCTTTGACCTGTGCCCTGTCTTTTCTCCACTCTCCTCTACTTGCACCTTAGTGAGAGGAGAACCCCAAGGCCTGATTCTGTCCTGGGAGGCCCCGTGTGATCCAGCCCCTCCCTGTGATTTCATCTCCAGCACCTTCCTCTCACTCACTCAGCTCCAGTCGTCCCTTAAACATCCCCCACGCTCCTGGCTTTCTGCTTGCTCTTCCCTGGATTTCCATGTGGCTCACACTCTCATTTCTTAAGGTCTCTGCTTTCTTATCGGCAAGACCTCTCCCAAACAGCCATGTAACACAGACCCTCATCACTCTCTCCTTTATCCTCCTGGATATACTGTCACTTCCTGATACGTTACACTCGCTACTGTTTATTCCCCTCCCTGCACCCATTAGAATGTAAGTTCCATGAAAGCAGGAATATGGGCTTTGTTTTAGTTTTAGTGTCTACAAATTCTCTAGTGGCTGCTTAATAAATATTTCCTGAATAAAGCACAAAACAAAAACTCAGAACAGAAAAGAATACGGGCTTAAAATCTAACAAGTGTTGACATTAAGCAAAGTTTTCTTTGTCTGAAAAGAGGAAATGCCAGGAAAAGGCCTAAAATCCACATTTCTGAAGAGCAGATGTTCTTAAGCTCCCCCATCCCCAACTTTCTAAACAAAGTAAAAGACCCCAAGGAGCATTTGCTTTGCCCACTGCCGCCTGCCCCTAGGAGAGACACATTTCAAGACATTTATCTGGAAAAATAACATTGCTATGGTGATACTTAAAGTGATGATGAAGTGGTGATGTTTACCTGTCTGCTTTTTGGTGTAGTGTCAAATCTTCTGGGAAACATTCAATGAACACACACACACACATAGACTTTTTGGAGTGACTTGTGGTTTGCACTCCCCCACTCTGTGCAGATCACCGTAGAGAAAATGCAAAGATCACTGTTCAGAACCACACCCACAGCGCTAGCAGAGCAGAGGACGACAGAATTCTGTCTGCCCAAGACGGCTGGGCGCCCCTCGGAAGTGCCTTAGCCAGAGAGCCA